TTTTATATGTGCCATGTGACTTTTAATTTACAAATCGATTAGTAATCAATTTAAATGCTACCCGGCTTTAGACTATCGTTATTTGTCGTTTTGCTTTGTGTTGAGCTGCATAAATTATGCATCCGATTAACCGCTCATGGGCGTTATTTTGAAAAAAAAACTGGGTTTAAAAAATCAACCTATGCATTCAAAATAACGCCCATGCGCGTACTCAAAATAACGCCCACGTATTCAAAATAACGCGCAGATGCCCGTTATTTCGAGAATTTACGGTAGGTTTTTTTTTGATATATACGTATTCAACATTTGTTTGAGAAGCGAAAAATTTGAGCGCATAGTCTGAGCAGCGCAATTCAGAGCGCATAGTCTAAGCAGCGCAACTTAATGCGTATACAATCGTTTTTAATTTTGTGAAACCTAAGAAAGTTAATCTGTGAAACTTGATTTCCCAAATAATTTCTTAAAAGAGTAAAAAGCAACACTAAAATTTCCATAAAGAGAATTTTAACGTAGCACCAAAAGCAAACGATTATTTCTGTGCGCTAACTAATAAAAATAGCTAATAACTAACTATATAATTTCGGTATATAGTTTTATATTAGCACGTTAAACATGTAGTACATATTCCGGGTTAATTGGAAAATTTAAAATTTATGAGGTTCGTGTTTGTGTGAGGAATTGGTTGGTTTGTGTATGTTAATATTTTTATGTTTAATGGTTCTTAGGTTTGATTAATACAGGATATTATACGTTTGAGATTTTTATTACATTGAATTTTGGTTAAGGATCTATGTTGATGTGTATGTTTTTTGGCATTTATACGAATAATTATTTTATAGTTTGTATATAATATTTTGTTTGTTAATATTGTATGGTATTTGGTAAGTTTAAATTTAAGTTCGTTTGGGGCGTCTGTTAGGATGATTTTAATTAGGTTTAGTACTTTTTGCTAATTTTAATGTGAGCGTGTATCATTTTAATTTATTTTATTTTTTAATTTATTTTTTTTTTGATTTGTATTATTGAAGTGATGCTGACAAAACAATTACCAATTAATATCATCCGTGATAACGCACCAAACCAATAAAAATAAAAATTATATTGAATAATTCTGATTCAAAAATGACAACATATAAACTTAAACCTAATAAAAAAAATAAAATGTTATTGATGATTGTTATCATTTTTACTTTGATTGAACTATAATGCATCATATTTTATAATTTAATTTAAATTGTAGTCATCGTGATATAATAAATTGTCATTTTATTTTATATGGTTATAAGAGGACAGTTTTTAGTAATAGGTCGATGCCATGTTGTATTGATACGATTGTGAAAATTATTCAAGTTCGTCAATCTGATAAAGAAGAGTCTAACTTAACTCGTGTGTGGGTAATAGGTGTTTATCCTATTGAGAGCGAAGATCGTGAATTAGAGATAGTTCTGTCTGTCCCTTTAAATGAGTATGAGAGAGATCCTAATACTCAATCTGTTTTTGTAAAAAACGAGTGTTATAATATTGCGGGAAAGTTGTGCTTGGAAATTATAATGGAAATTTAAGATTAAAAGTAATCAGTCATTTATTAATTCGTTTGTATATAGTATATTTTTTGTTAATAACAATTTATTTTAATTTTTTATTGATTTAGATGACCGTCGCTACATCCACTCACCTTATGATTCGTAGAGATCCTGGTTCAAACAGGTGTCCATTAAAAGTTTCATTAGTTGGTGTTATTCAAGATACAGCGAAAGAAATTGACGAGGAAAATGCAATAATTAGAGTATCCGTAAAGGATTATGTTGCCAGAATGATCACTGTTAAGATTGTGTTTCCACATCGTAATAATCGGTTTAAGCATTTAATGAACTCTATTCAACCGGAAGAGTCAGTACTTTTTGTTATAGAACAGATGGAAGTTATACAAGGAGATTTATACACATATGCCGTTGAAACTTCATTTGTTAACGCTTATTCCGCGGATAAAAAAAAAATTTCTGGTTCAAGTACTCAAGCCATACCAGGATTATATAAATCAGTTCGGTCAAGACTTTTAACTGCTCACAAAATGCTAGTGAAAGTTTATCCAAAATGGCTACAATTGAAAATAATATTAAAAGTACGGAAGCAAATCAGTCTACAGTTAACCCGTCTACCTTTGAAAATCGATCATTTGTTTCTGATACTCATTCATCTACACATACTAAGGTAGAGGATGAAGATCTTGAACATGTTTATTCGGATTACATCTAGAATGACTTAACTGAGAATAGTAAGGATTGCTTTGATGAGAGTAATAAATCGAATGGGTATGTTATTGCGAAAATGAAAAAAGTCATACTGACGAGAGTGATGTGTCTGGTGGGAATATTGTCAACGAAAATGGAAAAAGGAGTCGTAGTAAAGATGAATAGAGGTTAAATAATACATAACATGAGAAAGTGTTCTGAGATTTCTAAAATTTTATATAGTCGTAATTGTGAGATGTAAATCTTGAATCCGTGGTATTTATCTTTTACGGTCTGTAAAATATTTGCGAATATTTAATAAAATATTTTGAAATTTTTTGATTGGTGTGAACCCATAATTTTTCCGCCAACAATGTTTATATTTTTTAACAATTCAAGCACTGCTTTGTTCGTTATTGGTTGTTTATTTTTTTTTTGTTCAATCGCCATTTTCATATCATTCGGTGTAAGTTTTGAAATTAATTCTGCAGATCGCTTGAAATTCTCTTGTTTCGCCGTCAAGCATGCTCCTGATGCAATATTTCTTCGTAACATATCAAACGCAGCAAAAATAAACGAACGATGATGTCTAAATTTAGGATCACGAAGCCGCAATAACTGTTTAATATACTGTTTAAACGGTATGTGTTGTTTGCGGTAATTATCCTTTATGACCACCAATTCCATAAGGAAATAAAGTAGGAAATGCGGCAGGTAAAAGAGTCGGGTCCGTATACTCATTTTTGGTATGTTTGAATGTGGCATTAGGATCGTGTCAGAACTACAGTCTATTGTTCCTTGAGTCATTTTCTCAAGTAATTTTAGCAAATGTTCCTGTTCTGAACTGAATATATTATCGGTCGGTATATTTCATACCTGAATTTCTCAACTCAGCCAAATTATCAGTGGAATTATGCAATTCAAATATGGTTTCTTTGCATTCTTGTTTCGCATCATTCGTATAGTCTATACTACCATTTGCATCATCACCATCAATCGGATCTATTATATATCCAGTATAGTGTTCTAGTCGTTGCTAACAAAGGCAGATGGTATCCCATTTTCTGGTAGGGATTCTAGTATTGTTCTATCAAATTTAATTTTTTTTATATAAAATGTTATGCTCCATTAACCATTCCAAAGCTATAGCGATTTTATTTTTTTCTTACGTTTAACACTTTTTTTAATTGTTCTTCCGAAGGCTGTCCTTCCCCAACAAATACAACTTTCAGATAATCACACAGTTGGTACATAGGTAAAGGTAAGACTGTAGAAAGCGTGGTTGGTTCTTGTGTAAAAGTAACTTTAATTTGTGGTGTGTATGTTTCCGATCAGTGCAGCAGTGAGTTGAATAAGATTTACACACATATATCCCGCAGATATTAAGAGTTGTTCCGGTATTGTTAACCCTTGAAGACACTGCGGAGTTGTTCCTATCCACATATTTGATAGAGAAAGAACAGAAGTACTACCTGCATTCAATGATCGCTTACAATCATAGCACACTCGAAGGTCGAACGGATTTCCATCATCATTCGTATTAGTTTTAACAAATCCATTTCTACTCAGCTAGTATTGTCACCAATGCATTATTTGCATTGGTTTTATTAATCGGATATGGCCAGTTTGCATACCGTTTTTTTGATAAACCGAAATCATTTTCCATTTTTAGAACACGCAATGGAACACATGCTTCAGTTGCTTGGATGTCTTTTTCGATACATATTTTTTGCCTTTTGGCACGTTGAACTTCACTTCGTTTACGCCTCTGTTCTCGTTCATGCCGTCGATAACCTGCATGCGCTCTCTGCGTAGCTTTTTGTTGTTTACGCTTTGACTTATAACAATCAAAATTCGGAGGTTCACTCCTTAAAAAATAAAAGGAAAAAAAAAAACAGTAATTAGTATACTCTATCAATAATATCGAAGTTTCAAGTCACATTTACATAATCAAAGTATCGTCCAGAAAATCACGGTGTTGAATTAAAAGGATGGAGACAGTAGCAACTAGCTCACAATTTATATACTAGGGTAGCTGTGCAGCGCGTGACCTTGCGCAGGATCAGTACGATCTATATACGGATGCCCATAAGTAAAATCAATTTCGAAAGATGACTTTTCAGGTATTTGTCAATATCGAGTAACGGTAAGTATAATTCCCGCGTATTAACAGTAGTTAAATGTTCATCCAAAAATAAATTGCACAAGGCAGTTCCCTAATCACGTCACAATTATTATTGTTACGGAATTCTGCCAATGCATTATTTGCATTGGCTTTATTAATTGGATATGGCCAGTTTGCATATTGTTCTTTTGTTAAATTGAATTCGTTAACCATTTCTAGCATACATAATGAAACACGTGCTTCATTCGCTTGAACATCTTTTTCGATATATATTTTCGCCTCTTAACTCGTCGAATTTCACTTCGTTTATGCCTTTGTTCTAAAAGTTATATCTACATAGCAAAATGTTTCATCTTGAAAGTCAGTGTTAAACATTTATGTATAGTTCAGCAAAAATTTACGACCGTTTTTTTTGTTTTTTTGTTTTCTGTTTAATATTATATATTCATTTTCATGTTATTACAAGTCGCAGACAAGCAATAATTTCTATTTAAATGTTATTGAATATAAATTTATTATAATGTTCTTATATTTCAAAAAAATATAATCATAGATCCATGTATAACATCATTATAACGTACATATTATTACATTTAATTATCAAAAAGTCATGGTTCAATACACATTATAAAATCACATTTCAAAATTAAGAATATAATTATAATGTTCATACATAATGTCATTACCCGATCAAATATAATCATAAAGAAAGATTATACATAACGTCTAAATATAGTTTTATAGTGAAATTATATCGAGTAAAAACATGTAATCATAATGTTCACATATAACAAGAATACACAAGCCAAACTACAAAAATCAATTATAACCATTCACACATAAAAAAAAAAAAAGATACTGATCAACACAGTTTTACACACGATCGATCTTCCCTAGTATCGCCACCAAAATGTTACTTTCACGTGACCACCGAAAAAAACCTTTTAATTCGTTTATGTTAGGGTTAGCGTTTAAACTAATACTAAAGAATGAGGAGGTTATAGTAAAATTACTCAAGGAATTTTTTTGTTAGTGCACGAAAGGCGGTTTCTTATATGAATTTGAGAAATAAACGATTTTTGATTTGTTTTGGATCTTCGTGATCGTGTTACGATACACAAATTGTGATTAATTTATTGGCTAAACTGATGTAGATCTCCACGTGAAAGTAACATTTTGGTGGCTTAGCTTCTTCCAAAAAAGAATTCTGAACCCATGTTTATCTACAAGAATTGGCCAATCAGATTAGAGTCATGTGAATGTGGGACAGATTTTTTTTTCAAGAACATATAAGACGCGTCAAATATTAATTTTGCGCATAGTTATGTCCGAAAATCACAAATATTTTAAACGGCAACCTGAAGGTTAGAATATTATTGATAATTTAAACGAATGTGATTTAGAGCCATTTGATTTAAAGTTAGACAAATATATAAAAAGCCCTGAAGCCATTGCTAACAATCAGCAAGAAAAAAGAGAGTTGAGAAAGCATTACTTCTTTACAGATTTAAGATGGCAAGTAAAAGTTTCCTTAAATAGTGGCGTGGTCGGGGGCCTGCTAGGTCGCCGTTCATTCAAGGCTGTTAGCTGAGCCACATAGTCTGGTGCTGGAACATAGGTGATCTGCTAGGTTATCTTATGTCGAAGGCTGCTAGCTGATCTGGCACCGGCCCCATTGGGGCACAGTTGGTCTGCTAGGCCAGCTGTGTTCTGGTGGGATAAAAATATTTGTCGAAAATTATTACTAATTTTCTTTTCATAATTCCAAGTGTGACCGTACAAAAGCCAAAGAATGGGAAAAGAGGCGCATACAGCAGCAAGTTCACGTACATCAATCGGTTAATGGAAACCTGAATGAGACTATAATATCTGGAGGAACAGTTGGATGTATAAACAACGAAGCTATGCCAAGCAAAAGAAATCAGAACGAGGTAACAAATGCGTGTCTTTGTTATAAAATTGCGAGAATCAACAGGACCAAACATGTATTTTAATATTTAGGTTGTTCATGAGAAAAGTTAACTAAATGGAAAAAATAAACGAATACTTTCCTTCTGTGATATATTTATAAGAATAGATGAATGTTAACAGTAAAAGAGATGACTTTAACAGTAAACAGAGATAGGTTTTAAGTTGGGAAATGGGTTTGACGTGATAATTATATTAGTTTTATTGTTTTGGGGGTTCGGTTTATAAATGCGTCATATGGTTGACGTAGTAACCTACTACATAAATAGTAATTCGAGGTATGATTAAGCGGTTATTGTAGTATGAGCCTTTGGATCAACAATTCAATACCCGTTTATAGTTTGCATTAAGCAGAATGACCGCGAAAGACGATATAACATTATAGGCAATCATTAAGAATACTATACATTTTAATTGCTGTATTAATATTAATTAGATGTAAAAAAATTTTCAAATAAATATCTGGATAATCCGGAAACATGTTTTTTTTCTTTCCATTCTATCATGAAATGTTCTATGCATCAGCAAATCTAAATTTTATTAATACTAATTTGAAATCTTTCTCTTTTTAGTTACGCCATATCTCAATTTTTTCTTAGCAAATTCTTCATTTTTTCTTTTTCGATTTTGCTTCTTCATTTCATTCCTTTGTATTTTCCGTTTCGCCGCAGATTCTGGATCGACAATAGCCTATTGATTATAATTATTATTAAATTCGCTCACATAGCACATGAATTAAATAAATTATTTAACCACATCATTAAAAAGTAAATTGATGAATTTTACCTTAATAACTCTTTGATGTTTCCTTTCCCTTCTTACTTCCTCTATTTGTTGTCTTACTTTATTATACGCATTGTGGTATTGAGTGGTACCAACACGCTTATGTAATAGATCGAGAACTTCTTTTCCAAGCCGTTTAAGATTATCTATCGTGAAAATAAATACGTTAATGGTAACTACCTTTATTAGCAATAATAATGTCAATCAATTTATTAATAACAATTTACCTATAACTTGGCCTTTGGCTGTCTCGTTATTTATTAAACGATATATAGGCGAGATTATATGTAAGAGATAAGGAAGCACCAAGTCGTTCGGTGACATGCAGGTGATCATTGCGGCAAACCATTGATATATACTTGTTCTCTATAAATAAATAAATGAAGAAATAGGTTTAAGTTTTACATCGTAAAAAGACTCCTCTGCTATTTAACATACCTGATGGTCAATCTCTTCGTTATTGGATGAAGAAAACCTTGCCTGATATGATAATTTTTTGAATAACCAAAGCAGGGATGGCTTAACCGTACCGCTATCGCTTGCTTGGTTACCAATAATCTCATCTGCATTATTTGCATCTGCATCTACTGTTTCTATATTATCTATATTATCTATATCATCTATATCGTCATGGTTTTCATTATCATCTATATCGTCATGGTTTTCATTATCTATATCTTCAGATATAGATTCTTCATTATGATTTCCATCCCTTTCCCTTGTAAATGAATGGTCTACTTTATCCTCATCAGGCGACAAATAATAAAAACATTTTCCAATGAAAAACAAGTTTTTCACAATTTGAATTGCAAGCTCTTGTCCCAAATGTTCACTTTTCAATTGTGTACAAAATGATGTTGCCAATTTTCTCAGCAAATCCTTTGTCAAAAAATCATTTCTTTTATTTAATCCTGTAGCAATCATAGTCTCGGGATTAATTTTAGCAAAGTATGATCCAAAAAGTCTGCTTGATGCAAGTCTTATCCAAGAATGTGAATGGAAAATATGCCTTTCAACCAGTATCCATATTTTGTTGCATTCTTCAAGATAAGTAACAGATGGGAAAGCTTTGATAAGTTTAGTGAACGTATTTAATGCATAATATCCGATCTCCCAATCAACATCCACCATCATGTCTTCCTGATTATCGCCTGCATCATTTGATGAATGCACAAGCTGATCCATAACTTGTGAACTTGATTGAAGAGCAATATCTAAAATATTTAGTAATTCTGGAATGTGTTTCTTGAATCTGTCTTCAAAAGCTTCAATTACAAGTCCATAAATTTGTACTGCCATTCGTTGCAAACTCTTTTTTTCGGTTTGAGAAAACCATTTATCTAACAAGATATAGGTATTTTTTAATCTTTGTTCATCCATTCGTTTAATTAATACCTTAATCAAGACACCTGCTATTTCTCGGCATTTGTTAGATTCATCATTAACTAATGAAATAGATAAAGCCATGAAAAACATTTCTGCATATTCCATTAATATTTCATCTCCGAATTTAGTAATTATTAAACTTAGCATCTCCATTGCTGATTTCCTACCACTCTCAAAGGTATAATTGAGATTTTTAATTAAAAAGTTTATTTGATTCTTGAGGCGTCCACGTCCTTGTGGATAATCCAATAAGAATTGAAATAAAACTTGTCTCGAAAGGTCACAAGTTTGTGAAGCTTGACTTGTAATCATTATTTCGGAAATTGTTTGCATTAAATCATAAATCTCTGGAACCACTAATTTACGTGAAATTATGGCTTTAATCAGTGAGAACGTCGTATTTTGCCGTTGGGGCTCTTCAAGGTCAGGTCTAATCAAATTAATTAAGAAGGTCAATTGATTTTCTTTAATTTCAACCTGATCACCAACGCGCATCATAACTGTAAGCAATTTAAAGCAAGTTTGTACGAGCTCAGAATTCGTGGAGTTAGATGTTCTTATCAAAACAAATGTTTGCTTCACTATAACAGGTAAAGCATCATTCAAGGATTTAAGTTTCAGATTACATAATATGTGCATTATCTTGATAGCAAGAATGTTAATGCTCAAATGCTTGGAATACATGGCATTTCCTACTATATTCACGAATTGATCTAACATACAAAGTTGTTCCTCAGATTTC